AGGCTACTGAAAAAATATACTTGTTAAATTCAGGGGGTAATATAGAAATCGTGCTGCGGGGGATCTGAGCAGGGGGAGGGTTGGGGGTTCTTGAGCGTGCAAATTTTTTTTTTTTTTTCGTCAAATGTTGTCCTTTCGGCACATATATATATATATATGCTTTGGACGATTTTGTTGTTTTTACCTCATGTCGCCATAGCCCACGGTTGTCATAGTAACCACGGCCCACCAGAACGCATCTGGGATTGACTTGAAAAAGGATTTTTCTGTCCCAGCCTCAGCAAAATAAACGGCACTTGAGAACAGAATTACTCCTGGAAGGTCCCCAGGTTTTGGACGAGGAATTTGGGGGGAGAAAGAAGAGGAAGTAGCGGTGATTTTTTTTTGGACAATTATTGTCGAGAATACAAAGCCCTGGATATATATGGGGGAAACTATTTGACACAAGCATACAGGGTGGCTCAAAGATTTTAAATGTGCAGTGGATTCTGCATAATATAGGACCATCATCAGTGATGATCCCAGCTGCATACTCGCATTAGGACCGAATTTAGTTTTTAAAAATCCCTTCACGCTACTTATAAAGAACAAAATTCTGCTCAATAGGACAAAAATGTTGCTTAACATGATCAAAATTCTGCCAATAAAAAAACCAAAATTATGCCTAATAAGACAAGACTGCTGCTTAATACAACTGAAATGCTGCTTCATAAGATAAAAATGCTGCTTAGTCAGACAAATGCTGCCTAATAAGACAAGAATGCTGCTGAATAAAACCAAGAGGCTGCTGAATATGACCAAATTGCTGCTTCATGGACCAAAAACAGCTGCTTAATAGGACAAACATGCTGCTTGATAAAGCCTAAATGCTGCCAATTAAGAGAAAAATGATCTTTATTAGACCAACATGATGATTAACAGGATCAAAAGGCTGCCTAATAAGACCAAAATGATGCTTGATAAGACAAGACTACAGCTTAATAGAACCAAAATGCTGCTTAGTCAGACAAATGCTGCCTAATAAAACCAAATTGCTGCTTAATGAGACAAGAATACTGCTTAATAAAACTAGAAGGCTGTTGAATGAGACCAAACGCTGCTTAATGTGACCAAATTGCTGCTTCATAGACCAAAAAAACTGCTTAATAAGACAAACATGCTGCTTAATAAAGCCTAAATGCTGCCTAATAAGACAAAAATGCTCTTAAAAAGACCAACACAGTGATTAACATGATCAAAATTCTGCCTATCAAGACCAAAATGATGGTTATTAAGACAAGACTGCTGCTTAATAGGGACAAAATGCTGCCTAATAGGGACAAAATACTGCTTAATAGGGATAAAATGCTGCTTTAAAAGATCAAAATGCTGCCTAGTCAGACAAAAGCTGCCTATTAATAAGACAAAAATTATGCTTACTAAGACAAGAATACTGCTCAATAAAACCAAGAGGCTGCTGAATGAGTCCAAACGCTGCTTAATATGACCAAATTGATGCTTCATGGACCAAAAAAGCTGCTTAATAAAGCCTAAATGCTGCCTAATAAGACAAAATGCTCTTAACAAGACCAACATGTTGATTAACAGTATCAAATTTCTGCCTATTAAGACCAAAATGATGGTTATTAAGACAAAAATGCTGCTTAATATGACTGAAATTCTGCTTTATAAGATCAAATTGTTGCTTATAGTCAGACAAATGCTGCCTAATAAAAACAAAATGCTGCTTAATGAGACAAAAATGCGGCTGAATAAGACCAAAGGGCTGCTGAATGAGACCAAACGCTGCTTAATGTGACCAAATTGCTGCTTCATGGGCCAAAAAAGCTGCTCAATAAGACAAACATGCTGCTTAATAAGGCCTAAATGCTACTTATTAAGACCAAATTGATGGTCATTAAGGCAAGAAAGCTGCTTGATAGGACCAAAATGCTGCAGAATCAGACAAGAATGTTGCTTAATAAGACCAAAATGCTGCAGAATAGGACAAGAATGTTGCTTAATAAAACCAAAATGCTGCTCAAAAACACCAAAATGCTGCTGAAGGATATTTATACCAAATTTTCTAATCAATATATTTTGGAAGATGCTAATTTATATCCAAGGGGTGTTATTCCGGTCATTTATACTGTTATCAAAATAAATAATCTAATTTAGTTTTAAATCAGCAGCAGGAATGATACTTTAACATAATGAAAATTCATTGGTTGACGAATGAGTATAAGGAATGAAATTGTCGATCTTGCATTTTTGTAGTTCATGTCTATAAATTTCACATTCAAATGCATTTTTCTACATTTAAAAATATTTTTTAATTAAATCTGATGAATACAGGATCAGCTGCGTGATAGATATGAACAAAACGTCATCCGTCGCCCGAAGTGGCATACGTATAAGCAGAATATACTGCAATAAAATAAGCTTTCAAAATTTTTCAAAAGTGTATATATTAGTGAGACACTTGACAAGTGCTGGAAATAGGAGGTCATTCCCGTGGCACGTGTCGAGATCTAAAATCAGACAGAAAGTCTTGGTCTGCCAAGAAGTGAGCGTTCAAAGTATTTTGTTTGCGTTTCGAACGTTATATATAAATATATTTTGAATGCCAGGTCTTTGGTTTCTCTAATGGTGCATCGGAATCTGCAGACAGAAAACATTTATTGCACTTCGCTGACATTTGGGTGTGTGTTTTTTTTTTTTTTTTCAGTGGAAAATTTTCCATTCAAATGCATTTTTCTACTTTTCATTGAATTTTAAATCAAATCTGATGAATACAGGATCAGCTGCGTGATATGAACTAAACGTCATCCGTCGCCCGAAGTGGCATACGTATAAGCAGAATATACTGCAATAAAATAAGCTTTCAAAATTTTTCAAAAGTGTATATATTAGTGAGACACTTGACAAGTGCTGGAAATAGGAGGAGGTCATTCCCGTGGCACGTGTCGAGATCTAAAATCAGACAGAAAGTCTTGGTCTGCCAAGAAGTGAGCGTTCAAAGTATTTTGTTTGCGTTTCGAACGTTATATATTCATATATTTTGAATGCCAGGTCTTTGGTTTCTCTAATGGTGCATCGGAATCTGCAGACAGAAAACATTTATTGCACTTCGCTGACATTTGGGTGTGTGTTTTTTTTTTCAGTGGAAAATTTTCCATCAGCGATAAGCGTCACACGCTGAATTTTGCAAAATTGTGGAGCGAACGAAAATTATGTTTAAATTTGCTTCACTAATTTCTAGGGAAAAAAAAATGATAGCATGTTTTTTCTGGAGTGGAATATATATTTTTTTCACATTTTAAGAATCGTTTTTAATATGGAACTGAGTCAACTGAAGAAAGCGCTTTCGAGGATGTGCAAATTAAAATATTTCCAGTACTTTTTGTCAGGTCCGTTGGATTATTTCCTTCTCATTAGACGTACTTAATTTTAATTGCATCCCAGCTTTGAAGGGATTCTAAATTTTTTTATTTTGTGAAGGTTATGAGTCGTACATCAACATTTTTCGTCAGTACGTTGAATAATGAAGTTCTTCGGATGCCAAAATTTCTGACTCAAAATCCCTGAACGAACTGTAGAATTACGAAGAAAAATCACAGCAAGCCTCTCTTAAATTTCTTCTTTATTCATTTTTTTTTAGATGAAAATCGTTTCGCAAAATTGACGACATTTTAGATGAATCTTGACATTCAGAGAACATTGAAAAGATTATTCTCAGATCTGAGCTTTTTTTACATTCGAAAATGGCTGTCAGATATTGGATATTTTTACTAATGAGACGCTCTCACTTTTCAAAATATTTGATTACACTTAAACTGTATGTAAGTTCATTAAACATGTAAGTGTCGAAGGTGAACATTTTTATTTCAACGAGAGCGTTTATTTCCTGCTTAATCTGGTCCATTTAAAATTTGGTCGATTTTTTTGGGAAATTGTATCTTGGTTTAAGAAAAATTAGAACTAGGGCCATGATAATTTTAATTATTCTGCAAATATTATCCCTATTGATATATTTAATATTGTACAAGAGAAACTCTATCAAGAATCAAGGAGAAATATTTCAAGTAAGACCCTGTTACGCATGTCTTTAAATCCTTAATCCATGAATTCTAGATTATGTCTCAGATGTTTGGACGATAAATATATCGTTTCGTCTGAATCATATGCTTATTGCATAATTTTCTCAGCAGTAAATATTCCCTGAATTTTCGAGGTCATTTTGTAAAAATTTCAACTTGAAATACTGATTATATGGAAGCAACGAACAGAAACTCGTCCAATAATCCCCCCTCCCCAACAATGGATTTTATAATTATCTTTGAGCCACTCAGTATTTCCCTCTAACCAGTACTTTTCTGTGTACATGGTACTGTGAAATGCATCCTACGCAAGGTTCGAAGGTACTTTTTAAGAGCATGCGATCAAGCAGGTCAGCTAGAATATTCTGGATTTTTTAATTATGGGGTACCCTTTTAAAAGGGCACCGTAAATTACCGCCACTTTTTTCGGGAACACATTCTAATCATTACTGGTAGCATACATGAAAAATTTCCAGTAAAAAAAATTTTAGGTAATATTCATTTTTAAAATCGCCAATGAATATCGAGAGTTTTTAAATGGAAGTCCGAAAGTCAAAATATTTTCTGGAATCATGATATAAAATCCGATCGAAGTTTCTTTTCCCACCGATTATTATTGGTTTAGACAAAAAACGATTCCACCAAGTAATAAAATACAATTGCAGCAGTTGCGTATATGCCACCATTTTGGGGGCGAGGATTTAATTCAACATTAATATTCTGAAAATTCCAGGGTTTGAAACATTTCTGTAAAAGAGGTACACATTTCTTGGGTTTGGTTTCGGGAAAAAATGGAGACACGTGAATTGGTTTCATTGATGAATTCAGAAATTTTCTGCGGTTATATTTGGAATAAAAAATAAACGAAGTTCCCGATTTTTGCGGCATTTTGAAGACGTTAGATTCGTTCAAGAAAATCTACTAACACAATCCTGAAAAGAAAAAAAAAATGTTTTTGTGAACGATTTTCACTGCGAAGAGCGAACCTTTGCGAAAATAAGTAAAAAACATAATAATATTGTTAGAAAAATCCGGAACGTTTTTGATTCTTTGATTATACTTATTAAAATCTTCATAAACCTAGAAAACAGGATTTTCAGCGTTCGTTTTCTCAATTTTTTTTCTCTCGTTTGTTGAGCTGATTGAAAGGAAATCGACTCACCAATGAAGAGGAAAAATATGAGCAACCCGAGTTCTCGCATGGACGCTTTGAGAGTCCGCCCTAAAATTTGCAGACCCTTGGAGTGTCTGGAGAGCTTGAATATGCGGAAAACCCGCACAAGTCTGATGACCCTGAGGATGGCCAGTGACATGGCTTGATTGCCTGCACCATCCCTCCCCAAAGGTGTCACCTGGCAATAAATGAAATGAAAAATTGACAAAAAGAAGCTGTCAATTTTTTGTTTGTTTGTTTCAGAACAATACTGCAGTTGAACCCATTGTTGTGCTCATTTCAGGCAAAAATATAATTTTAATTTTCAGCCAGACGGAATTTGCATGTGTTGAAGGACTTGCTGTTTGATATGAATGAATGAGCGGAAAACTTTATTTGCCACTTTTCAGCACTCACAAGGCACAACCAAGAGTCCCGCATCCAAACCCCCTCCCCACCCAACCCAACTCCCCCCAAAGACATTCAATCACTTCAAAGCATGAAACAAAGCACAAACCAATGAGAAAAACAAAAGAGAACACACTCCACAAAATAAAACTGGACATCCTACATGTATGCTGCATACACCCACCCATCCCCAATATTGAAGACAAGGCAGCAGTAAAAGTGTACTTAAAGCACAAGGTCTTCAGCCTGTTTCTGTATGAGTTTTAGTTCAATGAACAATTTAGAGAGAATCTTTGATGATAAATCATATAAGGCCAAAAATGTATCTTGATCCTTTAAGATTTCAGAAAGTGTTTGATATAGAATGCTAGAAAAGCTCCTGCCCAGTTCTGTTACTTGTCATATGGCTGCTTGATTAATTCAGTGGCCAGCAGTATATAAAAATCTCAGTCGGCAATTAGCTCAGACAAGTGATTTACAGTCAATTGCCTGCATTTTATTTATTGTATCCATCCTTTTGTGGTACTGTATATAAAATTCATACTTGTTGCAGAAAAATACAAGGGACCAGGAATTTATTGTTGTGGATAGAATGTTATGGTAGAGAACTTGTCCCAGAAAAACCCCATTCACAAAAATTAACAGGTCAATGCCCAAAAATTGTTGAGAAGGAAAAATTAGCCCAAGGCCATAAACTGGGAGTTTGGAGCACAGGAGTAGAAAGGAATCACATTCCTAGACAGGAACAGGAACTCAGGAAGACACCCGCATGACCAATCAGGGGAAGAGCTGAGAAATTTTGAAGACCCACACATTTTGCCACTCAAAAATTGAGGGATGAAAAATCTTATTGCAATCAGAAAAAAAGTCTATTGTCACTCGGCTTCAGGCACTCAAAGAAAACAGTTGTGAATAAAAGGGTTCATCAATTGTGGTTTTTGGTAAATTGAATTCTTTGCTTTTGACTTCAGTTCTTGTCCTGACTTTATACTTGAGTTCAAGAAATAGAAGATAAAGTTAACCTTCAGCTCTTATAGTAACAGGGACAGGCTGGGAAACTGGCTTAGTGGAGACTGGCTTTTCTCCCCTTCCTGTTTTCTAGTCTCCATTGCTCCCCTCTGTCTTGGAATTCTTTATTTTTTCCATGATATAACCCATATAACAGGGAGAAGGAGCCTATGTGAAGAGACAAAAATNGATCAAGCAGGTCAGCTAGAATATTCTGGATTTTTTAATTATGGGGTACCCTTTTAAAAGGGCACCGTAAATTACCGCCACTTTTTTCGGGAACACATTCTAATCATTACTGGTAGCATACATGAAACATTTCCAGGACGAAAAAAAAATTACGGCGTAGGTAATATTCATTTTAAAAATCGCCAATGAATATCGAGAGTTTTTAAATGGAAGTCCGAAAGTCAAAATTTTTTCTGGAATCATAATACAAAATCCGATTAAAGTTTATTTTCCCACCGATTATTATTGGTTTAGACATAAAAAAGATTTCAAAAAGTAATAAAATACAGTTGCAGCAGTTGAGTATGCTACCATTTTCAATTTTGGGGGCTAGGATTGAATTCAACATTAATATTCTGAAAATTCCAGGGTTTGAAACATTTCCGTCAAAGAGGTACACATTTCTTGGGTTTGGTTTTGGGGGAAAAAACTGGAGACACGAGAATTGGTTTCATTTATGAATTCAGAAATTTTCTGCGGTTATATTTGGAATAAAAAATAACGAAGTTCCCGATTTTTGCGGCATTTTGAAGACGTTAGATTCGTTCAAGAAAATCTACTAACACAATCCTGAAAAGAAAAAAAAAATGTTTTTGTGAACGATTTTCACTGCGAAGAGCGAACCTTTGCGAAAATAAGTAAAAAACATAATAATATTGTTAGAAAAATCCGGAACGTTTTTGCTTCTTTAATTATACTTATTAAAATCTTCATAAACCTAGAAAACAGGATTTTCAGCGTTCGTTTTCTCAATTTTTTTTCTCTCGTTTGTCGAGCTGATTGAAAGGAAATCGACTCACCAATGAAGAGGAAAAATATGAGCAACCCGAGTTCTCGCATGGACGCTTTGAGAGTCCGCCCTAAAATTTGCAGACCCTTGGAGTGTCTGGAGAGCTTGAATATGCGGAAAACCCGCACAAGTCTGATGACCCTGAGGATGGCCAGTGACATGGCTTGATTGCCTGCACCATCCCTCCCCAAAGGTGTCACCTGGCAATAAATGAAATGAAAAATTGACAAAAAGAAGCTGTCAATTTTTTGTTTGTTTGTTTCAGAACAATACTGCAGTTGAACCCATTGTTGTGCTCATTTCAGGCAAAAATATAATTTTAATTTTCAGCCAGACGGAATTTGCATGTGTTGAAGGACTTGCTGTTTGATATGAATGAATGAGCGGAAAACTTTATTTGCCACTTTTCAGCACTCACAAGGCACAACCAAGAGTCCCGCATCCAAACCCCCTCCCCACCCAACCCAACTCCCCCCAAAGACATTCAATCACTTCAAAGCATGAAACAAAGCACAAACCAATGAGAAAAACAAAAGAGAACACACTCCACAAAATAAAACTGGACATCCTACATGTATGCTGCATACACCCACCCATCCCCAATATTGAAGACAAGGCAGCAGTAAAAGTGTACTTAAAGCACAAGGTCTTCAGCCTGTTTCTGTATGAGTTTTAGTTCAATGAACAATTTAGAGAGAATCTTTGATGATAAATCATATAAGGCCAAAAATGTATCTTGATCCTTTAAGATTTCAGAAAGTGTTTGATATAGAATGCTAGAAAAGCTCCTGCCCAGTTCTGTTACTTGTCATATGGCTGCTTGATTAATTCAGTGGCCAGCAGTATATAAAAATCTCAGTCGGCAATTAGCTCAGACAAGTGATTTACAGTCAATTGCCTGCATTTTATTTATTGTATCCATCCTTTTGTGGTACTGTATATAAAATTCATACTTGTTGCAGAAACATACAAGGGACCAGGAATTTATTGTTGTGGTTAGAATGTTATGGTAGAGAACTTGTCCCAGAAAAACCCCATTCAAAATAATTAACAGATCAATGCCCAAAAATTGTTGAGAAGGAAAAATTAGCCCAAAGCCATGAACTGGGAGTTTGAAGCACAGGAGTAGAAAGGAATCACATTCCTAGACAGGAACAGGAACTCAGGAAGACACCCGCATGACCCATCAGGGGAAGAGCTGAGAAGTTTTGAAGACCCACGCATTTTGCCACTCAAAAAGTGAGGAATTAAAAATCTTATTGCAATCAGAAAAAAGGTCTATTGTCACTTGGCTTCAGGCACTCAAAGAAAACAGTTGTGAATAAAAGGGTTCATCAATTGTGGTTTTTGGTAAATTGAATTCTTTGCTTTTGACTTCAGTTCTTGTTGTGACTTTATACTTGAGTTCAAGAAATAGAAGATAAACTTGAACTTCAGCTCTTATAGTAACAGGGGCAGGCTGGGAAACTGGCTTAGTGGAGACTGGCTTTTCTCCCCTTTGTGTTTTCTAGTCTCCATTGCTCTCCTCTGTCTTGGAATTCTTTATTTTTTCAATGATATAACCCATATAACAGGGAGAAGGAGCCTCTGTGACAAGACAAAAATTCATGATATAGTACAGAAAAAATTATTGTAGACAAGATCATTGTAGAGAGAGAGAGAGAGAGCACCTGCATTCATATTTCTTCCACGCCTTACATGTGGAAGAGCCTTTGGTACCTTGCACTTTGACCATCCTGCATTTCAATGGTCAAATTTGCTAGGAAGTTGTCTCACAATTTTTGGAATTGTTGAAACTCCATTGGATTCATTTGAAAAAGTCTCAAAACTTAGTAACCAACCCTTGTACATTTATTCAAAAGATTATGAATAAAGAAACATACACTAAAATCTTGTTGCAACAAATGTATCATACGAACGAGTAGAGGTCTTGATTCATTTTAATGGAGGATTTTTTGACATTTGGCCATTTAATCCTTGGATGGGGGAGGGTTCCTGTGGCAAAGTTGGTATTTTTTGTGGGGTGGGTCATTTCAGTTTGACAAAAGGTCACTGAAATGCCTTGCAACCTCTGACTTGCACTTTGACCTCCTTCAGCCACTTTTATAGTATTTTTTGCTGCTTCTCTTAAAAGTCAGAGAACGTTAAACTGGGATATCAGGTGGTTACCTAGTACGAGTTTAATTCTCCTTTGGTACTGAACATAAACTAATTTAAACTGAACCCCTTGTGTTATGTCACTCTGAGGTTTTACCAGACACCATAAAATATTGAAAATTTGATTTGAGAACACTTGAAAATTAAAAAAACAGGGACTGCTAGACATGCAGAAAATTACTCACCATATGGACACTTTTTTCAGAAATGCAAGAGAATTGGAACATTTTAATTTTTCAAAAGTTGAATGTTTTTTCTAAATTACCCATTGATATTCAAAAAAGTAAAACTGAATATCATTACGTTTCTACTTGAATTTATGATCAAAAGCACGTTAATTTGTGTTTATTTTTCAGCATTCTCTTGAATTCTCAAGTTTTCAGCAACCTTGTACTTTTTGTTTGTTTTTTGAGTCCATTTCATACTAGAGGATCATATTCTGTGTGGGTTTCTTTATTTTTGATAGTTGTATTCTGTATCTGTAAGTTGAGAAAGACATTTTATTTGATTTTTTGGGGATTTGTTCTTAATTTTCCACAAACTGTAGAACCAATTAAATGAATTACCATTGAATTCTATGAGAAAACAAGGTCCAACATGCAGACATTCTGACAGGGATACTGTTCCAGCTCCAATTATGTCTGCGTCTTGTGGTCTCACTGCACTTGTGCTGAGGAATTAATCAACCCAACATAAAGAATTGAACCATAGCGCAGTGGAAGATAAGGTAAGAAATAATAAGGCAGGGCTATCAATAGGTTTGCGGTTGTGAATATGTAATTAAGGGGGCACCATAATTACATATCCCTAGTTTGGTCTGGTTTAACCACAGTCCACAATAAATCACAATGAAACACAGTACAAAAATGATGCACCACAATAAATGCAATAATGCAGCACATATTCAATGGAAACAATACATTTGTGCACATAAATTTAGGGTGCAGCAGTAATGCAATGCGAGAATACAATCAAAAGAATTGAGATTGAATTATTTAAGGGAAGTTTGCTGTAATAGCTAATTTAAAGGACTGATTATTGGGAGTGGAAAAGTGCTGGGTTTTTATGCAATTTTGCTGTATGCCTTGGTCAGGTTACCTGACCAAGGCACTCAACTTTCTCTCCCCCACTGTGTGATTGGCCAGAGAATTGTGCATCAAAGAAGTTCTTTAAATTAATTGTTACTGATATTTTGTTTTCAATGTCAGCAGCAGGAATGAAGGGGTGTATGCATACATGTTAGATGTGCACTTGTATTTTGTGGAATGTATTTTCTTTTATTTTTGTCATCCATTTGCATCTGGTTTCTCTGCTTCCTGCTCTGAAGTGATTAAATATCTTTGAGTTAATTTGGGTTGGGTGGGGAGGGGGTTTGGATGTGGAAATCTTGATTATTGAACCTTGTGAATGCTGAAAAGCAGAAAATAAAGCATTCTGCTCATTCATTCAAGAAGTTCTGCATTCAGGGAACAGATGCCACACAGGAAAATGGTGTTGCCAATAAAATTTGGGATAGTTTTTTCACTTCTTTCATAGATCTTTCTAAGAAGGAGTTTGGCTGGCACCAAACTCTGTCCTTGGTGACTTCCATGACACCTGGGAGTAATTCTTCTCCCAGGGTCTTATTTCAAAGAAAGGCATTTGACCTTCCAGGTCACTTAAATTCCTCTCCATTGAATTCAAGGCTTTCTCACAGCCTTCTCCTCAAGGAGAAATTCCTTTCCAACCTCTGAGGTCAATCTAGTCCAGCAATTCTCCCCTATCTATGAAAGGACATCTTGTGCTGACCTTCTGTGAAGTTTTCCTGGTCTCTAAATGTATATGCACTGATTCTCATTCTGGTTGTGACTGTCATATGAGCAACATTGGGCGCTGTGCATTTTGCCACATTTTGGAAATCTTGGACTTGTGAATGTCAGTGAAATATAACAACTTCAAACTAGGGTGTCATTCACCCTGGCCGCAGCCCGGCTGAGTGTTGTCTTTTATTGTAGAAATCTATTTGGTTAATTTTTATATTCTTCACAAACTGGGACCAGAATTCTGGTCATATGGGACCTGACATCCCCTGAACAGAGTTCTGGTTCCTCATCAACAATAGCTTGTAATGGGTATGATGCTCACCTTGATCTCGAGCTCGCCAGTCTCGGGCGGGGCGCCGATTTCCAGCGCCAACTGGCGCGCCTGCTCGCCCCGCTCCACCTCCGCCACCACAGTCGCCAGCGTGATGAAGTATGGAATGATGGCGATCAGGTCGATGATGTTCATCACATTGCGGAAGAAGTTGAACTTGTTGGGACACGCCAGGAGCCGGACCATGAGCTCGAACGAGAACCACACTATGCACACGGTTTCTATGAGGAAGAACGGGTCCCGGGCATCGGGCACCTCGTCCTCCTCCACCCGCGTCAAGTTCCGCAGCGTGTCGTTGAACACTTTGTAGTGCTTGAATTCCGGCAGCGTCTCCAGGCAAAATATCACAATGGAGAGCAGGATCACGAACACGCTGACTATGGCTACGTAGCGCGCGTTCTGCGAGCTTTCCGGGTACTCGAACAGGAGCCAGATCTTGCGCTGCAGCGGGTTGTCCGGCAGGGGTTGCTCCTCTTCCTTGATGAACCCCTCGTCCTCTCTATAAATATAAAGAGTACAGTATACATATTCATATATACAGCGAGAGAACCCAATATGCGGACACCGCAACACACACACACTATTCGACTTAGGGACCAACAAAAAATCAGGCCCATACGTCATCCTGACTACATTGGCTCAAGTTATAGGGACACTTCTGAATTGTTCCCTAAAAAATCAAAACTTAAAAAAAAACCTATTTTGAACAAATCAAGCTATTGAACAAATTGAGCTAATCAAGCAATATTTCCCGTTGGATTAAAAAAAAATGTTGAACTTTTTCCAGCCTTGGTCAAAAAATATTTTTTTTCCTACAGGGATTCTTACAGGAAAATTATCTCTGCAAGAAATTTTTCTGGCCACCTGAATTTCATTTTAGAGAGGGAGTCCACTTATCAACAGAAGATTCTCATTGTAACAAATCTTATTCCAACAAATTCATGCTTATAACAATTTTTATTATCCCATTTCAATACATGGACAAACAAAGTTAATTTAATTTTAGAAAATTTTCATTCATAATGAAGCTTTTTAAAGGTCCCTAAAACTTCTTTTGAAATGACATTCATTTCAATGTGCTGGAATGAATTTTGTGTGCTGAAAAATATGTGGTTAAAAGGAAAGCTTCAAGGAGCACCCTCTTTGAGTCAAAATTCAAGGGACCACAAAAAAATCAAACTTATGCAGGTTTTGAGTCTGGGTAACAAGCATTTTTGAAGGAAAAAGAAGAAGAGAATTATGGTAATTTCAAATTCGTGATTTTGGTCCTATGAAGAAGGGGCCTATACCAAATATATTATTTTGATGGTTGGAACTCTGTTCCTTGAATTTTCTGCCGGAACATGCACCTGGTGTTATTGAAAAGTGGTCCCACGCATTGAGAAGAATCTACAGTACAATATACTATTGTGAAGCACTCTATACCTGTTTTCTTTCAATTTGTGGAAATGAAAATAAAAAAATAAATAAAAAATTCCCCCCCATTATTACCTGAACTTGGCAATGGCGCATTCACCAAGCTCGTAGAACTTGATTTCTTCCGCGAACACGTCCAGAGGCACGTTGACGGGCCGCCTTAACCGCCCTCCGCTCTGGTAGTAGTACAAAATCGCGTCGAAACTGGGTCGATTCCGGTCGAAGAAATACTCGTTTCGCAGGGGATCAAAATATCTGCAGCATTCGTCACGCAAAATATACATAGGGAGAATTTTAAAATATTTTTTTGTCTCCTCATTCATCATTAGGAAGAGAGAGTGAGCGAGAGAAAAAGAAGTGGGGATTTTTTCAGTCTTGTGACTGAGCAACTCATCGCCATTGAAACCAGAGCCACTGAAAGAAATATCGTGATAGAGAATTGATTGCCAAGGAAAAATAGCGCGTGTTAAAAAAAAAATTGCTTGGATAGTGAGGGCCCCAACATACAGACACCACAAGCCACATGTGATTCGACTTGTGGACATTATAAACTAAACAATTCTGCCCTAATGTATGGACGATGTCTCAAAATACTGATGCTCTTATCTGCATTTGATTTCCAGAAAATTGGAAAGGGACTCAACTCTTTTGTGAGGATGAATATGTATAATGCTGAACCATGTTATTGCGAATATATTTTTCTGATCTTCTGTTCCTTCATTGCATTTGGGATTGATTACTCCTGGAATGAAATAAAAATCAATATGAAATGCAGGGAAAAAATGACATCACTTATTTTTTCCAATTGATCAGCTGTCCTTTTAAAAAAAATTGTTGCCCAACTGAAAAACTGAATACCGGTGGGGCCTTGACATGTGGTCACCCCAAAAATGTGGTCAATTCCACTGCTTAGCAGTACTTGAAACTAAAAAAGCTGCCCCAATATTTGCCAAATGTCTCAAAATATGAAAATTTCACCAACATTTCAAGACAAATGAAAAATAATATTTTTCAAAAATTTTAAAATTCTTGAACCAATTGAGCTTTTTACATTCACAAAAATTGAAATGCTTAGTAAATTCACCAATAATTCATAATATCAAACATAATAATTTTGGTCTTAATTTTTCCATAGTTTAGGAACATTTAGGAGCACTTGTGCTTATTATTTGCTTTTTAGGCTTCTTATCATGCCAAAAAATCAGATTATTTGTTGCTGTTTTCTGAACAGTTATTTTCTGTATCTTAGACTTGCAAACAATTCTTTCATTCAATTTTTAGGGGGAATTCTTCATATTTTTTCATCTACAGAATAGAGGACCAGCTGAATATATTCTGTTGAAGTCTAAGGGAAAACAAGATGTGGTCATCCCAACAAAGGGACAAGTTTCAAACACCAATTATGTCCTTATCTTGGGGTGCACCACTATAACTCTAAACCTTGGATGGTGGATGGTTCGTTTTCATTGCGCAGCAAAGTCATGGTTCTTTTTCTGGGGCCAGGTATTTCAGTTTGACCCAAGGTCACTGAAATGCTCCCAGGTAGAGAAGGCCTAAGGTGGGAAAAATCCAGGAGGATAATTGTCCATTGTTTTCAGAACTCTCCCATTGAAATCCTTAGCCACAATAAAGTGAAGGGAAAATGACACCAAGTGACATGTTTTTGTTTATTTTTCATTCAAAATTTGCAGGATTGTAAATATGTATTGGACTTTTTCCAACTTAGACCTTTATTTGTACAAAAGTAGGATTTTTTTTAAGTCCAGTGCTCAGTGGCACAAAATTTTGCAAAAATATCCCAACTTTGCCGCACAATGAAGGGTTAATGCATGTGAACTCTTTTTACAACAATCTTGTCTATGATGATTTCCTCTGTCAACCAAATTTTTTTGTGGCCTTGTATATAAGGTTCTCTCCCCATATTGCATGGGATCTCTGCAATGCAATTCTCTCAACAATGATTTAAAAAAAAATTTTTATGGCCCCTCAGAATTTTTTGCAGAGTTCACCTGCAGTACCTTTTTTTAAAATTTCAATTGGGGTTATTTTGGGCATTTTTCCCCATGGCGCAGGTTCATTTCTGGCGCGTATTTCGCATAATGCTGATTCTCTGTGGCGCTGGTTTTCTTTTTTTGGCTCCAGTTTGAATGGCGGTGGATTTCTTCGGCTCTGAACTAAACTTGGGGGGGATATTTTGTCTTTATTCTCACCTTATTCGACGGGCAGGATCACCAAGTAGAGTATCTGGGAATTGGTTGAGTGTGCGAAGTTGCGTTTCAAATCTAAGGCCACTGACCTAGAAATAAAAAAAAAATGAATCTTGATTCCATGGAATTCCAATTAGGTTTTCAGACTGAAAATTCCCTCTTTCGAGCCATTTTTAATTTAACACGTTTTTATTAACTCGCTTTCTTGTCCATTTGTTTGTCCGGATCAAATTTTGCAACTCAAATTTCGCTCACTTCCCGAAATACAAATGAAATAGATGCGCACCGCGTTTAAGGTTATTTTTTGCTTTTTGAAAACGTGGTTATTTATATTAATTTTTTAATCTACTAAAGTTTTTTTCCTATTTTGAAGTATACAGACTGATATTATGCACCCATCGAACTAGCGTGAAGAATTTATTAAACTGTCCACGAAGTACCTGAACAATGCCAGGGGTTTTAAAAAATTTCTTTAAAATGCTTTGCTTGCCAAAGGAATAGTTTCAGACATTTGATGGGATAACTTCATAAAATAAAGGCATTTCTTCGTCTCGAAATCGTACATTTGTTACAGCTACTTCTTTAGATAATAAAAAAACTTTTTCATGCAAAAATAGTTCTTGAACGAAGCCCGACTTTGAAAAGATTTTTATTTTAGAATGCTTGTCTCGCCTAGGGGGAAAATAAACTTCCAACACTTGCTAATAACCTGCAAAAATGCATGCATTTCTTTATTGTATGAAAAAAGCCATTATTAGGAAATAATTTCTGGCGAGATTCATTTTTAAAAGCCAATAATTTTAGAAATTTAATCTTGCCCAATTATTCTAGTTTAAGTAATTTATTATCCATGGACCCATGGTATCAAAATAGTCAAACCCTGTATGCAAAACATGCCTCCCGCACAACAGACTGCCTGTGGAGGCATTTTCCCATCCCACACAACGGACTAAATCAACATAAGAGACTTGTGTTGGTTTAAAATCAACGGTGAAAAGTGAATATTTTAATTTTTTATCAATTGAATTTGAATAACAGACTTTTCACCTAACAGACTACATTATAGTCTGTTGCACAAATCAAGTCCGTTCTGTGGGAATTGTATCCGGGCTGCTCAGAAATGCTTCAAATCGTATATTATTCTGAATATATTGTCCATTACGCTGCGAGGAAATTGCGGGGAAGGGGAAATTGGCACTCAAGACAAGGAATATGCAGTAAATCATACATGTGATAGCAGATATATATATGTACAGTACTCACATTGATAACTGCCCTTTCGCAGAATTGGTGATCATGCACAATTGGCTCGAATTTCCTGGCTTCCATGCGCAAAGTGGTGTGTTGCTGACAACCACTGTCTGGGCCCGACACTGATCTGCGTTAATGATGGAAAACGAAATTTGGCAATGTATCACAAATTCACAATTGATGTTTGCGAATTCCTGCCGTCATTGAAAGGGCTTCTTCTTTCTATGCTTTATCGTTTATGCGATTCGGAGATGGCGAAATCGACGAATCTTGCCGAACTACTGCACTGAGCACTTGTAATGTGCAAGGGTTGTTTCATACGTTTTGAGACTTTTCCACATGGATCCAACGGAATTGAAAAAAAAATTCAAAGAAAATTCTTTCGCTGGCATAGCCCCATTGTTTGGTAAAACTTCAGCGCTGTTCAAGTTACTCTCCGCCAATTTCAATGCTTTTTTTTCATCATGAAATAAGTTCAGCAATCAAAACAGTGCCAAAAGTTGAGTTTATTTTAGTTGATTGTGCTGTTCTTCATTGACCGCGAAAATGAGGCTGTCCCTGTCCTCAAGATCAAACTCTTTCGGATTGTTCTTCACTGTCGGGAACAGCCAAAATCACAGGGCGCCAAAAAATGTATTGAACTGTTTTGATCATTGTGCTTATTTCATGGAAAAAATCATTAAAATTTGCGGAGAATGTATTTTGAAATAAAATGAAGAATTGAAAGTAAGAGCAATATTGTACTCAAGACGCATATTTCATTGGTGTCGTTGGATGTTCAAGAAAACACACCTGAGCATCATATCCGAAAATTTCAGAGAATTTTTACAAATGTTTCAAAATGTTTACAGTACTCTGTATGTCACATGTTGAATAAGGTCCATGTTTATTCAAGATGCTCAGAATGATACTAGACAGTAAAAATCTTGTTACGACAATTTTGTGGGGACTTTCAAAAAAGTTTGTTATAATGAATAATTTGTTGCAACAAGATTTTCAATATTAATGACTGGAAACATGTTTTCAGCTCAGATCTGCATATATTCAGAATCAAGTTTGTCTTGCAGCTTCAGAACTCTCAATATTGTTAGACAGAATCAGTGATTCTCTTCTGAACAAATTTCTTCTTCACTGCTGCCAGCAATGCAAATATTCTGGCAAAGAATTTTCAATGATTTTTTTCTCCCTGTACATCCAGCTGATAATCATTACTGCATAAGACACTCAGAAAAAGAAGCAAGTGATGGAAAAAATGCACAAAAGTGGAAAAGAACACAATTTAAAATGGCCATTAATTTGTAGGGCCAAATTATGTGATCAGTAATTTTCACCAGAACTTTTTTCACACAATTCTAACTATTCCACAGCATCCAGAACTGAAGAGTAAAAAAACTTCACTGTGTATGAAAATAAAGGGTGTTGAACAGTCACTGTCCCAGGATGGACTGGAACCTCATTGAGCAATTGATGGTGCATGCATTTTTAAAATCTTTGTGGAGGGCACCTTCATTTTAATTCTTTGAAAGACAAAGCTGAAGCCCTGCTCCCAGGCAGAATGTTTGGATGAATTCTGCGGACTTTCTAGTTCATGGTTTGATTTGGTAGTTTCCAGGAAATACATCTTACCAAAGTCAGTTAGCAAGGTTATTCTGATGGACCAGGTTTTCTTTTTTTGGTCATCATTTCTGTACATCCACCAGAAATGGCTTCAATGGCTTATTCAGGCTTCAATGATGAGTTTAAAAAATTCTACAAAATTGTTTCTAATTTTTCCACAAAAATGAAAACATTTTCTCAAAAAGAGTTTGTTATAACAGAATTCCCAAGTTTGTTATAACAAGATGTTTTCTACAAGGTCTGTTGTCTTTCTGCCTGGACTTGAAAAAAAGTTTGTTGTAATGAAAAATTTGTTGTAACAGTATTTGTTGTAACACAATTTTACCGTAGTATCATGCTTTGGATCAGCAGAGCATTTTTGATCAGCAAGATTTTATACTCAAATTTGATGAGCAAAGTTGTCAGGGAATGGTTCTGAACTTTTTTTCATTTTTTAAATTCTCGAAATGTGAGGAGGAAATGGATTAATGATTAGACATTTCTGGATAGATGAACGTTCCTTGCCGCGAGATCGAACAGTTTTAGCAAGTCTCAGTTAAAATCTAAAAAATATCGAAGATTTTTTCCTGCAGACATTTTTTTGCCTGCCAAAATATACAACCCTCATCGTAAAACAGAACAATTTGCAGCAGGATGCGTCATTACCCGAGCCGGTGGTGGTCGTCATGTTGCTGCTGCTGCTTGTTGGCAGCCGCCTCCTTGGAGTCATTGAAACTAGTTACGAGTTTGGCCCAGGGGTTGCCGCCGGGCCCACCGCCGCCTCCTCCGCCGCCACCGCCGCCGCCGGGGCTGCTGCCCATGCCGCCACTCTGCCACATCTTCTCGGACGCGGTGCGGTCGTCCTCCACGAACTGACCCTTGCGCCGGCGCCGCTTCTGGGACTTGCGCCTCTTGTGCCTCTTGCTGTCCCCAGCGGACGAGCCAGAGAAGACGGCACTCGCGGCGGCGCCGGCACCTTGCCCCAATGCGCAGCCAGATCTCCGCTGGGATGATGCCGCTCCGACCTGTCCCAATAAAAGGAAGAATAACCATCATCTCATAGCGCTATTTCTCGAAAGTATTCTTCTATTTATAGACTCGTGTTATTCACTCCTTGATGATGAGAAAAAAAAGAAGGTGAAATTCATCCATATATGAGATGAAAAACACAAATTGTCTTCAGCAATACATGGAATGTATGGTACCCAACCAAAAGACCCCCTGCTAAAAGCCCCCCCCCCCTGAAAGTCCCCCAGGTCAAAAGCCCCCCTGACAAACGCCTCCCTAGGTCAAAAGCCCCCCTGCAAAAAGCCCACTTTTTTAATTGGATGCAAGTTTTATAACAGTGTTTGGTGGCCCTGAGAAAGGCCGTTATTTATTTTCATCAGTTCCCAAAAGAACTGTTCAATAAGCATCTTCAAAATTGCCTTCTGTTGCCTCTTCCTCACTGTCACTGATGATGCTCTCCATGTCATTTTCTTCTTGATGTGCCTTTTGAGTGCTCTTATGATTTTTGATGATCTGAAGTGCACCAGCCATTGGATCAACAAGGTGAACTGTAGATTTTGCAGGAGGTCAGCAAGTGATGATGCTTTGACATTCAAAGAATCACTGATGACCACTGTAGGTCAAGAATCCCTTTATATACTCAACTTACAAACATATTGGTACTTGGCCTTGTGCTGGGCCTGCCAGGGAAATGTGCAGCTTATACCATCAAGAGTTACAAGAATACCTGTAATCCCCAATTTGTGCACCAAGGGGGGCTTTTGGCAGGGGGGATTTTGGACTAAAAACAAATTCATGGTTATATAACATGAAAAATACCAATTGTTTTCAGCAATATGTGGAATGTAAATTTTTCAATCCATGGGAGACATTTTCACAATTAGCGAACTCCCCGCATGGGGAAAGACTTGCCTAAGGTGGAGTTTGATTCAGGAAAATCTTAGAAATTGATCAATGGAATCATAAATGGAACATGTTTGACCTGAGGAAACTCTCTTATGATATACAGGGTGGGCCTAAGAAAAAGTGAACCAATTTTTGCTTGAAATAGCTCTGCTGCAAATTGACCGGTGGCAATAATGAAAAAAAGCACAAAAGGGAAGCTTGTTCAATTATCTTTCAAATGGTATGTTTCCATGAATAAAGGAAATACAGGATGCAATAATTTAACCAGACTGTCTTGAAGAGCCTGCACATCTTGCAAAATTTCAGGAAGAGGGGTTGAGAAGGGGGTAGGACATTGGCAACAAGATAGGATGCTGCTGGGGGGACTCCTGTGGTGCAGGTGCGTGCTGCTGGGCACTGGCCTCATGGCTTCCATATGTGACCCACTGCATGCACATTTTTTTCTGGATGACTATGTATGGATTGCTGAAAATTACTTCAACTCAAAATCAGTTCAATTCAATAGCATTTCAACTGAAAATCAGTTTCAGCAATCCAGCCATCCATTTGAAACAATTCAGAGAAGGTTTGCAAAGTTTGGGTGATAGTTTGAAATCCATGGAGGACAGCTTTCACAATTTGCAACAATGAATTTGACTGAGACATTAAAATCAGAAAATGGATCAATCAGCCGGGCTGTGGCTGGGACTTGCATCCTAGTATGAAGTTGTTGTATTGCTTTAAAAACAAAGGTTTGAGAGAAATAAAAAAACTTTGCAAACTCACAATTGGGCAAATGTCAACAACACAAGAAAAAATAGGCAAAAATGGCTTGTTCTCCAGAGATCAGCTCAAGTTCGGACCGCAATGCTGAATGTGGCTAATGGTTGGAAAAAAAGAGAAGAGGTCAACTCTTTGGATAAGAGATGGATGAGGTCAAGTTTGACCAATTTCAAAGAAAGACCTTTTTCTTGTCCTTGGGGAGCCTGGGAACCAGACTCAGGTTTGGTTCACAGGCTCACCAAAAACATCCATATTTTCAGAGATTGAAGATTATTGCTAATATAGCACAGGGTTGTATGGGTGCCAGCAATCTATGGAAAATTTTCCTGACAATCCAGAAAAAAGGGCATGCAGTGGGTCACATGGAGCTGCAAGGCCAGTGCGCAGCAGCACTTGCCTGCACCACAGGCGTACCCCCAGCATCTTATCGTGTTTCCAATTTCCTACCCCCTCCTTCTGAAATTTTGGAATATGTCGCAGCTCTCCAAGACAGCATGAAGTTTTCTGGTTAAATTCTTGCATCCTGCATTTCCTTTATTCATGCAAACAGCTCTCCAGAAAACAGCAGCTTAATGGGAAAAGTTGCCTGGCAACTTTTTCTGTGAGAAGTTTTCATTCAAATGGTTCTATCTTGTGACCTTTCTGTGGCACAGACCATCAAACTGCATACTGTTTGAAAGAGAATTGAACAAGCTTTCATTTGGTGTTTTTTTCATTATTCCCACAGGTTAACTTGTTACTGAGCTATTTCAATTCAAAAATTGATTTTTTGTCGATTTTCTTATACGACGCCTTACCTGAGTTTTCTAGGAATACAAATAGAAAATAGCCTCATGATGCGGTGGAAAAGTTCATCATTTCGTTGTCAAGTTCAGCAGAAAAACCGAGGCCAAGAATGAAAAAGCCGGAAAATTCAATGAAATTTGTAGCTATTATAATTTTACCAGAGAATCCAATGCAATGACTCTGAGTAAACAAAATATGAATTTCGTTACGTCAGAATTTTGGGTTCGAGCTCCTCTAAATAAAATTAGCTGCCAAATCAGTTTATCATTGCAAATAAAAAAACGTCGTGTTTTGTGAAAAAATGCATCAATAATCGGACAAAATTTCCAAAAGATTTGCCTAATGCTTCAAAAAAGCAGGACAATTCATCTCGTCAAAATTTCGCAGGCCTTTCCGTCGCTTCATAACCAGTGAAAACGTACGAGTCCTAACGAGGAAAACAGTTTTTCTTACAAGTACTTGCTGAATTCTTTCACCTTGAAAATCCAGTCCTGTCAATTCACAGTTGTCACTCATGTACATGGAGATATTTTTTCGCTCTTCACAAACCTCAAAGCGTGCAATTACAGACGACGAAGTTATTCAAAAAATCTTTAAAAACAATTTAAGGAATATTTCACTCATTATTCATATTTTCTGCGGAGAAATTAACTCGCAACAAAATATACAGGGGAAATGTAATGGGTTGGAATTGTCCAAGGTTTTCGGAATTGGCGCTAGACGAAAACAGCGCATTATGTGTATGAAATGACAGCATTACACGGGATAAAAAGCGCGAAATTAGTGCATAAAAAATCAAATGATCAGCAATGACTATCCCAACAAAATTTCGGCATATTTCAAATATTTCCCAACTGCCCTTACCTTAGTAGTAGAACGGCTTTTCTTGACAAAACTGCCAGATGAAAAAACCGCGCACTAGAAAACTTGCGACACACGATAAGGCTCTGCGCTGTAAAATTTTACGTGAGTTTGAAAGTTAACTTAACTTTAAAGTTAACTTAAAATAAATTGATGTAGCTTGAAAATGATTAGCTGCAGCACTTTTTATGTTCAACTCAAAAAGATGGAGAACTTTGCAACCTTTAATTTAAAATATTGTGCAGGTTTTTGTCTTAAAAATTGAGGGAGTTATGAACTTTGTAAATTTGCAAATTTGGAGTTGCACCATACCTGGAGAATTTTTCCTTGGGCGATTCTCGCAAATTTTATTTTGTTTGAGCCAGTTTTATTTTCAGACTGTGCGTGATTTTATTCAATGATTGTGTGGTGTGTTTTTTTTAAAACCTGTTTTCATTTTATCTGTGATGTGATGTCTGTCGCAAATTTTCTGAGCCACTTCTGCAGAATCAAGCATATCAATTTAATTACCAGCCTCGAGCTGATGGCAAGTAATTTTTCATGTCCCACTCTTCCTAAAAACAAACCTAATCCTCAAAGAGAACACCCCAAATGGGGCCTTTAGAAATTTAAGCAATAAAAACAGACAAGTTTTGGCAATTTCCAAAACTCGGTTTTGCGCCCGCTCCCACAAGAACCAAAAACGGACCTTTAGTCCTTGAAATCTTAAAAAAGTCCAAAAACCTGTAACTATATATCCCCATTGGCAGAAGCTGTAATGTAACCCAAAAATCATAGTGGAAAATTTCCACAAGAACCCCTTTTCCTGAGGAAACGTCTCAGAGTTTTTCAACACTATCCCTCGAACCATCGTACTGTGCGGAATGAAAAGTACTTGGTGAATTCGTTCAAAAAACTGTTTGGAAAAACCTGTGATTGTGAATACAACATTTCAAAATAGGGTGTTCTTGAGCACCCCAGTTGTAGCCCAACCGATTCTTGTGTTATACTTCAATATTTCCTTCTGTAAAATATTCCTATATCCAAACCTCTGTAACAATGTCTGCAGAAATAAATCAGTTTCATTTCAGCACTCGAATAAAATGGATGTTTTGCTGTGGTCCTTGCTGCCTGTGTTGCATAGGTTCCTAAATTAAAATTTGTTCAGAGGCTGTACCCAGGGACCCTTTCACATAGGTTAAATTTAAGCTCTGGAAATTTAAGTCATTCAACTATTATAACCAACAATTATTTCAGAAAGAAAACACTTTTGAGATTTTTTCTCATGATTGCATTAAACAAAATATATATTTAAAGCTGTTTGCGTAGGTGTAAGGAAGATCTTCCTGCTTTTCTATCTGATGATATTTAGACACTTTCCTGGAAATCTCAGGGGGCATTGTGGTTGTTTCCATGAGAAAACCTACTTGTAAATCCCATCCAGGACTTGAGATTCCATTGTGAGGTAGAATCGTGATTGTGTTACGTACCAGATGGAGACAAGACATCATCTACAAACTGGTTTCCATCAGTATAAACTCTGAAACGATCAATGAAATTGAGTTGCTTACTAATTTCAGTGAATCCCAGGTATTTCTGTTGGAAATGATTAATTATGCCAGAAATTCAAATCTAAGTGGTTGAGACTTGAGAGAGACGTGGTTTTGTTGTACATTTCAAGATGATAAACCAGTTTTTTGAGACCTGAGATTTTATTTATATTTTTCTCACAAAAGTGTTGATAATACAGCATTAAGTGTAATGATGATCACCAGAGATTTTTTATTTTTGGCAGAAAACATATTCTGCTACTGTATAAAAGATCTTTCGTCAGATTTCCTCCGTGTTTTAAAAAACAAAGATTTCGGTCTCATCCAAAAATGAGGAACCACGCATCTATATTTTGCATGAAATCTGATTTTTTCCTTTTTTTTAATTCTCCATACTATAAATAATTCTCGCCTGGAGCAGTTTCAATGCATTAGTAAAAATACAATAAAATTTTCCAGTCATGAGATCTGTTATAGGTGATCTTTTGAAGCTCTCAGTGGTATTTTGGCAGGAAATAATTACGAGAAATCCGTAAAATATTAGCATAGCTTCTTTAAAAGTCAGCAGAAACTATGAGTCAACTTTTAAAGCATTCTATCGCCCATAGATTTTGGAAAAAGTCATGGAAGATCAGCACTTCTAAATTTGAATGATCCTTAACACTATAACGTCAAAATTCGGTGAGTGAAAACTAAAAAAGTGGATGACAAGAAATCATTTAAAAAATGCTTTCCAATACTTCAGTTAAAAACTTTCATTTTCTATCCATTTAGGGAATAGTTGGAAACTTTTTCGCGCTTCGAATTAAGA